AAAGATAAAATGTATAACTTTAAAATAGTATGTTCAACAAAGCTTTGCATGGTACACAAATACTTATGCATTTTTAGTGCTATTAAGCATATTTAATTTTCATTAAAACACTTGAAAACAAATGCATCATTTTATATAAAACTTGTAAATATACTGACTGTGATTCATTTTCACCTTGGTAAAATTTAAACCTTTTATATATGAGAAAAAATACACTTATGCAGGGGGATAATCATTTAATTCTATATCAATGTTTAACACTGAGGGAGGTTTGTACTCAAGGCTGACCTCAAAGGTAACAAATATCTTAAACTAATTGAAACAAGGTTGCTTTTACCATGTTCAATGTGATCAGTATATGGCCTCATTTTTTCAATGTATCTTATCTTGAAAATCTATAAAGCTAATAAAAATTTAAATCTCAAATCTTATCTCATAAGGTTAAAGAAAAAATATAAAAATTAAAAATCACATGTACAAAAGCATGTTTAATATGACTCATTTTAATGAATCTCACTGTAGAATCAAATTAAAAAATTTTGATTTATTTTTATTAGAATTTGTTAAACATTCTTTAGCTAATTATCTCATAGAATTCTCTTTACATGATTAAAAAGTAAGGTTGCTTACTATCATTAAAGTCATATTACAAAATCAATATAGGAATTGTGTATTTGAACCCTGGAATGTAGTATTTAGATGGGACTCGTTGGAGCAGTAACTGTTGTTCTAGACATGACATGTCATTTGAAATCATAGCTCCAGCTTTAACCATAGGGTCTACTTTTCTGTACTGGCCAAATGTTGGTAGAAATGAACAAATACCAGTTATTTGTTGTTTTTGTTTTGTTTTTGATGAACTTAGAAATCTCTAAGACTGATTTCAGTATCAATATTACTATATTACCTACTGAAAAACAAATGCACAGAATATGGTTTACCTTTACTGACAATAACAGTATTATGCTGAAGAATGAAAAAATTGATCCAACTCTCTTCTCTGATGAAGTCCATCTTAACATCAAAATATTTGTTGTATTAAGAAAACAACTAAACAAAGCTACTAGTATTTACACATCCCTTTGATTGCAACAGAACTTTTCAAGAAAAACATTTAAATTTTCAGAAGGCTCAGCATCACCAAAAACTGGATCCGATCCAAACCAGAGATACAATATATGACACAGGGGCTTCCAGCAACACCATGATATTGACAATGAAATCCCTAGATGAATCCAAAGTCACTGGTAGCTTATACTGTTACATATCCCAAAGAAAATGAAGATACTACAAATGTACATATAAAATATAAAGTAGATAAATATCAATATGAAATGGAACAGTTCTGAAATCAGTAGTGTCATACTGGTAGGGGATCAATCTCTAAGCAATCAGATGTTAATAGTGGTGAATAATTTTAAATCAACACATATAACATATACATCACTGAAGAACTACCAACAATCTTAAACTTAACATGCAATGGCCCTTGCTATGTTAATGTCAATATGGATTTACCGCAAGATTTGTTGCTTCCAGATGTAAAATTTGACATACCGGTAAATGGAATAAACTTCATGCACCTGAATGATAATAGACCATCTTAATCAAAAGTTTAGTGAAATTCAGCTTTTAGTTAAAAAATTCTAAACATTTACATACTAGGACAACAAGAAACTTTCCTTAGTGACAAATTTTTAAACAATGAAATTCATTTAAATAATTATCAACTTTTCAGATGTGATAGTGGTGGGATAGTTTTGTATGTAAAGACAAACCTGGCATGTGGGCTAAGAACTGATTTTGATTCTAGTGATATTGAGGCTATATGGTTAGAAATGTTCAAGCTTGTGAAACAAAGGCTCTTTATTTTTGGCTACACTTATAGGTCTCCTCATCACCAACTTCCTGGAATGACCAGATTGAATATATTTTAGATAAACTTTATGTCAGAAACAAAGAAATCATTCTCTTAGGAGACTTAAACTACAAATTTTATCAATTATGAAAAAAAGTTGATATCAAAGTAAAAAAAATAATTGCCTTCTGAAGCCAATTTGAAAAAAGGGAACTACCTATCATATCTACATTCAAAAGAGTGCACATGTAAAAAAGCTAAAGGTTGCTGTTGAAAATCAGTTGTTGATATAAAAGACACTGACTGTAATGGAAAGTCAACAGACACTTCATATGAAAGTCACTGAATTCACTGGTTCCTATAGAGCTCACAGTTAATGGTTCACCTAAATACATGTAGTTTATATGAAACAAGAGCTGTCGGAGGACAGCAATGCTTGACAATTCCATGATGTTTCATTGAGTATAAAAAGGGGCATAAATATGTAAATAAGTAAATCAGAGTTATGGGACCTGACCCAATCGTGTTAAAAAATCACTGTGAAAATGTATGTTAAGTTTCATTTCATTCCCTTCAGTATGTTTGGGAGATACCAGCTTACAAGAAAAAAGTCAACCATGACTCAGTTTCATTGAGTATAAAAAGGGGCATGAGTTTGGAAATAAGCAAATCAGAGCTGTCTGATGACAGCATGCTCAACAATTAGAACAGTTATCAAAATAATGGCATTGGACTAATGGAAAGGAGAGGAATTGAATACAGGTCTACCTTTTGATAGACCAGCACTCTACCTGTGCGCTAGCCTGGCTGGCTTAGTGGCTTAGTTTTATATTATCAGAATATTATTATGAACATGACTTTTTAAAAGAAGTTTGAAGTACTGCAAGTGAAAATTGAAAAATTTATTCAAAAAGATGCAGATATATATGAAACAACTGGTACTTTTTATTAGTATTTATGAATATACAAAATGGAAGATGCCGTCACCAAGCTTAAGTTACCAATAAGAATCTGAATATCATAAAAGCAAATAAACATTTGAACAAAGCAAAAACACTTTTGAACAAAGTACACTTTCGGTCAAATTCTTATTGCAATGTGTAAAGGTGTCTTAATAAAGATTTGAATAATTATGATAGCAAAAGTATTTCTGTACACAAGAGTACACATTAATTAAAAAAAGGCCTCTACCTGTGAACAAAAATGTGTAAAAAGATTAAATTATCAGGAACCCTTATTTTTGTTTATAAAAATATATGCAAAAAATTCCTTTTAAAATCAAGGAACAAGTCAGCAGTTTTGTAATGGACGTGTTGGAGTTTGAATGGACAGTCATGTTAGAAAAGGAAATGTATTGAGAGAAAAATACCTTTGGAAATGATAATGATTGTTCTGTAATAATGATTGCACCTTTATGTTGATCTAAATATAAAGTTCAAAAGGAGAGAAAAATCAGCCTAAATGCAAAATAGAATTATGGATCTTGGTCAGTGACCTACAATTATGACCCTAAATGCACATGTGAAGTTTTAAATAAATACCTTTGACAGTTACTAGTATTGAGATAAAACTTGCATGTAAACATTAACCAAGAGACTAAGTAGAAAAGGGGAGATAAATCAGCCTAAATGCAAGATAGAGTTATGGAACTTGGTCAGTGACATACAATTATGACCCTTCATGCATAATTATGTGAAGTTTCAAATCAAAATCTCTGATAGTTATTGAGATATGTAAATCTTACATGTAAACATTAACCAAGAGACTAAGTAAAAAAGTGGGAGATAAATCAGCCTAAATACATGACACAGATATGAGTGCTGTTCAGTGATCATTAATCATGACCACAAATATACATATGAAGTTTCAAGTTTGTATCTTTAATGGTTTCAGAGATATGCAAAATTTGCATGTAAAACTTAACCAAGAAAAGGAGATTTTTTTTTTTTTTTTTTGTACAAAAGGGAGCATAATTCAGTCAAAAAAGCATGGCAGAGTAATGGATCTTGAGAATGTGACCTTCAATTATGACCCTAAGTACATGTGTAAAGCCTCCGTGGTCAAGGAGTTAGAGTTGATGACTTCTAATCCAGTTACCTCTCTGGCGTGGGTTCGATCCCCGGGAGATGCTTTGTTAGTTTAGCGCGGAGGAAGGTAGTCTAGTACTGGTGTAACTCTCCAGGAACGATGGTTAGGAAACTACCCGCCTATATGACTGAAATACTGTTGGGAAAAGGCGTAAAGTCAAACAAACAAACAAACATGTGTAAAGTTTCAAGTAAATATCTTTGATAGTTCTTAAGACCTTTAACCAAAATTTCTAAGTTTCAAAGGGGCATTATTCTGCAAATATTGCAGGCAGAGTTATGCAACTTTGCAAACTGATGTACATAGTTACTATAAAAAAGTATTGTAAATTTCAATTGAATTTTTCAAGCAATAATTGAGATAATTTTGACTTTGCATAAAACTTAAAAACCAAAATTTAAAATGGGGCATAATTCTATAAAATTGTAGGCAGAGTTATCCAACTTGTTAATCTGATGTACATTGTTACTATAAATAAGCATTTGGTTGTCTTGGTGTGACAGGACAAGCGCGCAACAAAGCCATATCTAACATAGCACATGAAGCAGAGTCAGCCTCATTGTGGATCTGGCGCAAGAAAGAAGAGCCATGGATGGAGGGTCGAAAGACCAATAGTTAGGCAGTACCCGCTTCGAGGCAGATGAAGCAGGGATAGCTGAAGCCTACCATCTCCTGGCTAGAGCTTGATATCACTCTACTCGGCGCACCATAGAAGGGCATAGTGGGAAGCGCCAAAACGCCCAATGAATATGGCACCCACCTGAGGAAGGAGATGGTAGCAGCAGTCGATGCTGTATCTTACAACTTACATTCTGGTTTACCGGTGACTGTTGGGAAAGTCCAGCTGACAACTGAGAAAGTTCAGTGACAACCTGGAGAGACAAGTGGCAGTTAGGAGAGACTAGCATAGGGGTAACCTGTCTTGGCAGGTCAGGTTGCATTCCCCGTAAGGGGGGCCCATTTTCAAGCTATCGACAGATATATAGAAAGACACCCCCATGGTCGTGCGAGAGCGGGGGAGGATGATCGACCAACTAGCCAAATGGAATCGAACATGACTGAACAACGGACTATGAGATTGGATACGGACCGGTTAAGAACGTGTAGTTGCGGGAAAGTATGTAAGAACGAGCGGGGACTGAAGATTCATCGTACAAAAATGGGATGTGCGCCGATTGCGAATCTGTTGCAACGCGCAAGGCAACTTGGTGAGGAGGAACTGGATCGGGAAGAACACCACAGTGTCCAGAGCCTCCAAGCATCAGATGAGGAAGAGGAGCACATCGATAGTTCTGAGAAAGACACTCGAGAGAATGCGACTGAATCAACAGAACAGAGACGACAGAAAGTGAAATGGCCAGCAAGCACAGAAAAAACATCATGGAAGAGGTTTGAAGACGAGTTGGACCAGATGATGGAGCATGTTTTGGTGGGGAAAGTAGATAACAAGTTGCATGTTATGTCTGAGATAATCTACAACTTTGGCAAGAAGAGATTTGGAATTATAGAGGGAAAGAGGAAAAAGCCTGTCAAGGAAAACAGGAGGGTTCAGAAGATCGCCAAGATGAGGGGAGATCTCAGACGACTGACAGCAGCTTTTAAGAAAGCACCAAAGGAGGAGAAGGAAGCACTGAAAGTCCTTAGGGAAAGTATTAGGAAGGAGCTTAAAAGCCTAAGAAGAGCTGAGAATCTGCGAAAGAGAAGACATGAAAGGCAGAAGAAAAGAGCCCAGTTCACCAAGGACTCTTTTCAGTTTGTGAGGCGCCTGCTAGGCGAAAAGAAATCTGGCAAGCTTCAGTGCACAAAGGAAGAAGCCAACAAACACATCAAGGAGATGTATAGTGATACCAATTGTCTTGAGGAACTGGGCAGTTGTGAGAAATTGCTTGAACCAGATCTTCCAGAGTTTGAATTTGACAGTGCAGAGCCAAGACTGCAGGAGATCAGAGATATAGTAAGGAAGGCCAGAGCATCTTCAGCACCTGGACCAAATGGAGTTCCTTACAAGGTTTACAAAAACTGTCCAAAGATTTTGCTGCAGCTTTGGCGGTTGATGAAGGTCATTTGGAGAAAAGGAGAGCTGTGCAGGGAGTGGCTCAAGGCTGAGGGTTGCTTTATACCCAAAGAAGAGGAAGCAACAACTCTCAGTCAATTCAGGACAATTTCACTCCTCAACATAGAGGGTAAAATCCTGCTAGCTGTCCTATCCAGAAGACTCACCTCATATTTGCTAGAGAACAAGTACATTGACATTGCTGTCCAGAAGGGAGGTGTACCAGGTGTTTCAGGATGTGTTGAGCATACAAGCGTGATATCACAGATAATAAAGGAAGCCCACGAAAATAAGGGAGACCTCGCAGTGATATGGTTAGATCTAGCCAATGCATATGGCTCTGTTCCACATCAGTTGATACAAAAGACATTACAGTAATATCATGTACCAGAGAGATTTCGCCTTATGCTGCAACACTACTTTGACAACTTTTTCTTGCGATTCTCAACAGAATCGTTCACTACTGACTGGCAGAGGCTAGAGGTAGGAATAGTGACTGGATGTACCATATCAGTGGTTTTGTTTGCTACAGCCATGAACCTCATTGTGAAGTCAGCCGAAAAAACTTCCAGGGGACCAAAAATGGCATCAGGATCTATTCAACCTCCGACAAGAGCATTCATGGATGACATGACCATCACAGACAAGTTGTATGTAGAAGGTCGATGGATGTTGCAGGATATAGGTGAAATCATTACATGGGCAAGGATGAGGTTTAAGCCAGCCAAGTCTAGGAGCATGGTCTTAAGGAAGGGAGCGATACAGGACAGCGCCAGATATCGAGTATGTGATCAACTCATACCCACTGTGAAGGAAAAACATGTGAAGTGTTTGGGCAAGTGGTACAGGGGCTCACTCAGTGACAAGGAGAGTATAGCCGATACAGAGTCACAACTAAAGGACTGGTTGAATCAAGTGGAAAAATGTGGACTCCCAGGGAAATTTAAAGCCTGGATCTACCAACATGGCATCCTTCCAAGACTACTTTGGCCACTTCTGATTAATAGTGTGCCATCGTCCACAGTAGAAGCTATGGAAAGAACCATTAATGGCTTTTTAAGAAGATGGTTTGGAGTGCCAAAAAGTTTCACCAGCCTTGGCTTATACTGCACAAAAAGTAAGCTACAATTGCCACTCAAAGCCTTAACAGAAGAATATAAGGTTACAAAGGCACGCCAGGTCATCATGCTCCGAGACAGTGCGGATGAGAAAGTCAGAGAAGCAGGAGTAAAGATACTTACTGGAAGGAAATGGAAGGCAGAAGAAGCTGTAAAGGATGCAGAGTCACGGCTCCGCCACAGTGACATTGTTGGAACTGTGACAGAGGGAAGGCTGGGACTAGGGTGTGTCACTCGGTCTCAGTGGAGCAAGGCAGGTCAAAAGGAAAGAAGAACTTTGATACAAAGTGAGGTCAGACGGACAGAAGAGGAACACAGACAGACCAAGGCAGCAGCTCTTGGTAAGCAAGGCAGATGGCTCAATTGGGAAGGCGTTCAGCAAAGGAAGCTGACATGGGGCGATATTTGGAAGACAGAAGGCGACAGACTAAGTTACTTACTTAGGTCTGTCTACGATGTACTTCCCAGTCCTGTAAACCTGAAAACATGGGGCCTTTCTGACAACCCAGAGTGTAAACACTGCGGAAGACCAGCAAATCTGGAGCATATCCTCAGTTCGTGCAAAACCTTCTTGAAAGATGGGAGGTACACTTGGCGTCATGACAGAGTCCTGGCATCAATAGCAGAGCCATTGGACCATGCAAGGCGTTTCCAGAAGAATAAGGAAAAAGGTGTTCTATTCATTCCTTTTGTGAAAGAAGGTCAAACTGGATGAGCAGGAAATCCTAGAAAGGGGATTCTTAGTACAGCTAAGGACTGGCAGATGGAGGTTGACTTGAAGAAGAAACTGAAATTCCCGGAAGAGATAACTGTGACCAAGCTAAGACCAGATATTGTTTTGTGGTCTTCAGCCAGCAAACAAGTTGTTCTACTTGAACTCACAGTGCCATGGGAAGAAAGAATCGAAGAGAGTTATGAGAGGAAACTGGAAAAATACCAGCCTCTTGTGGATACCTGTAAGGAAAGAGGTTGGAGGTCTTGGTGCTTTCCAGTGGAAGTTGGATGTAGGGGCTTCCCAGCGCGATCACTATGGCGAGCATTTGGTTGCCTTGGTGTGACAGGACAAGCGCGCAACAAAGCCATATCTAACATAGCACATGAAGCAGAGTCAGCCTCATTGTGGATCTGGCGCAAGAAAGAAGAGCCATTGATGGAGGGTCGAAAGACAGCACCCGCTTAAAGACAGAATGATGAAGCAGGGATAGATCAAGCCTACCATCTCCTGGCTAGAGCTTGATATCACTCTAGTCGGCGCACCATAGGAGGGCGTAGTGGGAAGCGCCGAAACGCCCAATGAATATGGCACCCACCTGAGGAAGGAGATGGTAGCAGCAGTCGATGCTGTATCTTACAACAGTATTATAAGTTTCAATTGAATATCTGAAGCAATAATTGAGATATTTGACTTTACAAAATATTAACCAACGCAGACGCCAATGCGGACGCCGACGCGACTGCAATAGCTCTCCATATTCTTCAAATAGTCGAGCTAAAAATAGTGTTAATTTCAGAAATTGAAAGGGAAAACTTAAAATTGCCTATTTGGGCATATAAATACATAATCATTGTCTTCAGTCAGACTGTCTTGAACTTGAAAATATGAAACACATCTAATTCTACATCATATACTTATGTTTTGTATAGTTTCGTGTAAATGTTTGCTTTAACAAACCGAAGCATAGAAGGCGCTGAATTTGTTTGGGTCTCAGAATGTCAGAAAGGTGGTTGTGAGATTATAAATCAATTTGTTTGTGAAGTGTCATCAAATTCTGTTTCCAGTGTTATAACTACTGGTATATTTAATTGGCTATAATACTAATTGCAACACTGATATTCAATTCAATGTTTATTTGGCTTAATCAATTAACAAGAGGGCCATGATAGCCCTGAGGTCGCTCACCTGTATATAGGCCTCCCCCCCCCCCCCAGGGCCAATTTTAACCCAAGGGCTTTTATTCGAACAAACTTGGTAGACACCAATAAGAAGATGTTTCATGCTAAACATCTAAGCTCTAGCTCATTGGGTTTTTTCAAAGATTTTTTAAGTTTCTACTATACACATATAGTTAAAAACAATGACACCCCTGGGGCGGGGCCAACTTTGACCCAGGGCTTTTATTTGGACACACTTTGTAGACACTCACTAGAAGATGTTTCATGCTTAATATCTAAACTCTAGCTATTTGGGTTTTCTCAAAGAAGATTTTTAAATTTTTGCTATAAACATATAACGAAAATCAATGACCCCCCCCGGGGGGCCAATTTTGACCCCAGAGCTTTTATTAGAACAAACTTTGTAGACACTCACTAGAAGATGTTTCATGCTTAATATCTAGACTGTAGCTATTTGGGTTTTTTCAAAGAAGATTTTTAAGTTTTTGCTATACACATATAAGGAAAATCAATGACCCCCGGGGCGGGGCCAATTTTGACCCCAGGGCTTTTATTTGAACAAACTTTGTAGACACTCACTAGAAGATGTTTCATGCTTAATATCTAGACTCTAGCTATTTGGGTTTTTTCAAAGAAGATTTTTTAAGTTTTTGCTATACACAATATTAGGAAAATCAATGACCCCCTGGGCCGGGCCAATTTTGACCCCAGGGCTTTTATTTGAACAAACTTGGTAGACAACCATTAGAACATGTTTCATGCTAAATATCTTAGCTCTAGCTCTTTGGGTTCTTTAAAAGAAGATTTTCAAAGTTTTTACTATATGCATATAGGGAAAATCAATGACCCCCTGGGGCGGGGCCAATTTTGACCCCAAGGATTTTATTTGAACAAACTTGGTAGAAACTCACTAGAAGATGTTTCATGCCATATATATCTAAGCTCTAGCTCTTAGGGTTTTTTAAAAGAAGATATTTAAAGTTTTTTCTTTCGGTTGCCATGGCAACCAGAGTTCTGCATGGAATTAAATTCTTTGAACAATTTTTAAAGGTGACCACCAAAGGAACATTCCTGTGAAGTTTGGATGAAATTGGCTTAGTGGTTTATGAGGAGATGTCATTTACAGAAAAAAGTTAACGGACGACGGACGTACGCCGGACGGACGCCGGACGAAAAGCGATCACAAAAGCTCACCCTGTCACAAAGTGACAGGTGAGCTAAAAAGGGACTAAATTACAGTGTATTTCTTACAGCTCAAGCAGCACTTAACAGTTTTCTCAATATTTGTGGAAATATAAATATCACTGACAACTTTTTAATCAAAGTTTTGTTCAAGGGGTATTTTGAAATAGACCTAGTTTACCAAGATATAGCAGCACATGGGATGTAAATATTGTTTTGTCCTTTTATGCAGATTCTAATGACTTAACTCTCCTTCAGCTGTCACACAAATTGTACATTTTATTTCTACTTGTAACTGCCCAGAGATGTCAAACTCTACATTTAGTCAATGTCCAAGACATCACATTCAAGGAGGGCCATTGTCTTATAAAAACACCACACTTACTTAAACAGTCAAAACCGGGTCATCATTTAGCAGATATTGACAAGTTTAAGAAGAACAAATGTCTTTGTGTAGTCGCCACCCTTAAGGAGTACATTAATAGAACCTCTGAGCTCACAGGGTCTGAAAACAAACTCTTAATCAGTAGGCAAAAACCCCATAAAGGTGTTCATAATTCTACTGTAAGCAGGTGGGTCAAAACAGCAATGCTATGTGCAGGTGTTGAAAAACAATACACAGCACATAGCACTAGGTCAGCCTCAACTTCTAAAGCAATATTAAGTGGAATACCTTTAGACACCATCTTAAAAACAGCAGGCTGGGCTAATGCACAAACCTTTCAAAAATTTTACCACAGACAGGTTACCAAAAGTAAATCATTTCAACAGGCCATTCAAATGTCTTAATTACTGATTGTAAAGGGCGAGATGAACTACTAGTAATATGTAGGAATATTTACCTTAAGTACTAATCATGACATACTATAATGTGGGAAAGGGTCAACTCGGCCCTATACCAACTCGGCACAGGTCAACTCGGCCCTCTTTTTAAAACTTATATATTAGGATATAGATGGTTTAGATTGTTTAGTTAATATAACATTTAAGGAGTAAATTACTATAAAAGTATTCAAAAGTATGATCAATTACAAACAGAAATTGAAAAGGGTGACAGTGTACATGTAAGTATTGTTTGAAATTATCTTTGTTAAGAAGATACAATATACATGTATGTTAAATATTGATCAATAAATAATGTTTTTGGATTGAATTTTTATGACAATAAATGTTATTGTATTTAACACTTTTTGAGTGTTTATTCTTTTATACGACCAATGCTGTTTTAACGATATTTTTTTTTACTAAAAACATCTGAAGTAGACAAAACATGCATATAAATTGTAAACTCTTCCTTTCTCTACAACTCACATACAAATTGGTACTTTCGTTAATAAAACTTTTCAATATCCTTGAGTAGAGGTCTATTACTGTGAAAATGTTAAACAATGAAAGTTATAATGAAAACATTTAAAAAGTAATCATTGCCAGTAATATATAATTATGGGCCGAGTTGGAATAGGGCCGAGCTGACTCAGGGGCTGAGTACGTTTTAGGGCTGAGCTGACCCCGATTCCTATAATCTGAATCTGAATCTGAATGTATACACTGCAGAACCTTCCGGTATGTACGCAGCGGGAGAGAGGAGCTAAGTAATTTAGTAGCACTGTTGGAGAGCTGTTTTAAAGCTCTGTACTGTCTCTGAGCACACAACGGCACTGTCTAAGTTATTCCAATCACTAATAGTCTTAGGAAAGAATGAATGTTCAAATTGGTCACTTTTTGAGATAATAGGTTTATAGCACTTATGATGGTTTATAGCTTGGTTTACTACAATGTTTTTAGTTATGTAATTGTCTAGTTTCTTAGGTTTAATTAGGCGTTTACCACGAATAGGGGTCAGATAGGTATCGGTGGGCATAGCTGGCACCAGCCCCTCAGCCACCTTGAAGAAGAATGTCAATCGTGCCATTTTCCTTCTGTCTTGTAATGGAGGTAGCTCAAGTTGCTTCAACATCCTGGTAACGCAGCCTTGATCTCTTGATTTGTAATCCCCAGAAATAAATCTAGCAGCCTTCCGTTGGATCGACTCAAGCTTGTCTATATCTTTCTGTAGGAATGGGTCCCATACAATTGAGCTGTATTCAATGTATTATTACAGATGTGTTTTAACATTTTAGCATATTTTCAATATAAAATGAAGAATAAATATGTTTTAACCTAGTCTTGAGTCACTTTTAAAATTTAAGATATGACTTGGTTTCTTTTAAGTCCAGAAGAATCAACTCTAAAATCTCTGTGGGGTCCACCAAAGGGAGTTATGCAGTCAACATAACGAGACAATTAAACAAGACTTATATAAGGGAAGGCGATGTTTGATAACTATTATTAAGAATTCGTAGCAATACCATTCGAGTTTATCTTTATTCACTGATGTGACTACTACCAAAAAAAATATCAATACATGAAACTTCTTACATTATGTTCTTGAATTACATGTTTGAATTCAATGAAGAGTTCGAATCATCCGCGTTGTTTACTAATTGGTCTTAGTCATAAACATGTACGAATTAAAATTTATTGTTGTCATCGGGGTTTGCCCAAAATACGAAAGTGAGATTTTTGACGAAAGTGAGTGAAAGTGACTTTTAAAATTTGAATTGTACTGTTTTAATAGAATTTTACAGTAAAATTCTGTTTGTAGACGTAAATTATTAGCAACTTATTATATATATTATCATAAATAACCATAATCATGATTTAATCGCCATTTATTGGCCTTATTTCTATATACAAGTTCAGCGATCTTTCTTTCGCTTGCATAGAAAAATACGAAAGTGACTTGTAAAGTATTAAATATTGAGTTTAAATTGAAAATGTACTAAGTTTGCAGTTTGTAAACGTATATTATCCGAAATTAAAAAATTGATATTCAACACTATATTTCAATTGCCTGCTGGACAGGGCGGACCGTGAGACGGGGCGGACCATACCAGGGCGGACCGTGACTCGAGACTAGGCGGACCATATTTTGGGACAGGGCGGACCGTCACTCGAGACTAGGCGGACCTTGATTTAAAAAAGTATTTATATGTGTACTAATGTAATAATATGACTCGCCATAAAAACTGGATCGGGTTCCTCCCTGGGAAAAAAAAAAGAAATCTGCATGTTAAATGTTGACTTCTTTAACATGCACGAGTAATAATTTCTGCTCCATTTGTTGTCCGTGGGCAATTGGCAAAAAATCATATTTTCAGTTTACCACACCCCTGGCTTTTTCATTAATGGACTGAGAAACGTGCAATTAAAAGAACTACGCACGTTTATTATGGATATGCAACAAGAAAATACAACAAGGATCAACAATGCTAAGTAACATTCAGAGAATGCAGTCCCCACACTGGACTACCGCAAAGGCACTCAGTAGGGTACCCAACAAAAAGTAAGAGAGGGCACAAAAACCGGAACATAGAGTAGTCGTGCAAATAAATGATAAGATTTGAACAGTACAGAAACCACTAAAATTTTAAAGCCGTATAAAACATTTTAAAAGCAAGTGAAATAACACAATGGTATAAAATATTCAAGGAAAACACGGGTGGGAATCACGTGACTTTGTATAGTAATACCCACGAGAAAATGGCTACTGCTGAGCCCCGGTAAGTACCTTGTTATGTTAAATTAAGGTGACAAACGTTTCTTAAATCAAAACAAAACCTAGCGTATCATATGCGCGGTAATTTTCTTCAAATGACAATACAAAGTGCATTATCCTACGTTTTGTGGTTTTTGAGAACATTGTTTGAATTGTGTGAAAATTGCACATTCAGCGATAGTAATTCGCACGAAGCGATATAATTTGGTACCAAAATCAATGAAAATAAGCTTACTTTCTGCACTTAAGAGACAAAATCAATCATTTTATTGACATTTTATTGACATCTGTTGCCGGCCAGAATTCATTATATGCGTACTGCATGTTATAGGTTTATTTATATTTTAAGTTTCTATATACGTTCTATAAAAAGGTCGTATCTACCATTTACGCCCTATGTTCACAGTAACATGAAATAAACTGCCTCAATATTAAAAGAACGTATCTGCCAGATAGGGCCTTATTGTATCTGTAAGACTGCAGTTACGAACTTATATGATTATGCTTCAGATCCAAAATGCACAAACGACCTTTAATTATTGATGTTATCTGGCTTAAATATTATGTCTAGGGGGCTGGGGACGCCTGCAGGACAGGGTGGACCGTGAGACTAGGCGGACCATATATCGGGACAGGGCGGACCGTCACTCGAGACGAGGCGGACCGTAATTTAAAAAAGTATTTATATGTGGACTAATGTAATAAAAGTATTAAATTATTGATGTTTTTGTTCTTCGTTTTAATATTTCAATGCATATATAAAAGTAAAAATATAAAATAAATTTTAAAAGTTCATGTGTAATTGAATATTAATTTGCTGAATGGACGATGTCACTCGAGACGAAAGTATTTAATTGTGGATGATTTTGGTATTCTTTATAATATTTCAATCTAAACCTTTCTATGTAACATATGAAACATATATATACTGAACCAAAAAAGGAAACTTTCGCAAAGTATCATGTGCCAGTTGTCAAGGGTACCACATAGATGTACACACTTGTATATATGTAGTAGCTCGTAAAACTCGTTTTGTTTGCAAAATCGGTCAGCTAATCCCCGTATAAAAGCCCGAAATGTTTATTCAACGTAAAAATCGAGTTTCAAAAGGATTGAAAAACTGTACTAACATATCTACATTCAAACTTGGAGAATGTTTCTTTTTTGTTTCAGTATATTAGAGTAGTTTAAGAAATTATTTGTAACTGCGTCGACTTACGCAAGTGATAATTGACCAATTATCGGGATATAACAATGTTATTGTTTGTATAAGGCGCTAACGCTGCTAAAATTGATAAACTTTATTAAACAATTAGACACATAAAAAAACATATTTTGTTGTACAATACACGAAATAACAATAATAACGAATAACATCACATCAAAATTATTTGCAATTCAACACAATAACAAAAAAATGAAGTGAATTATTTGAAAAACAAAACTATCTTATTAAAATTTAATAATAAGCACAGACACATGAAATAAAATGAACACTGAAATAGAATTTATTAAACAATAAGACACATCAAATAACTTTTAAAACTTACTGTATTTTATATTTTTAATTGAATATTTGAATTGAAATAACAATACGAAGAACAAAAACATCAATAATTACATTAGTCCACATATAAATACTTTTTTAAATCACGGCCCGCCTCGTCTCGAGTGACGGTCCGCCCTGTCCAAAAATACGGTCCGCCTAGTCTCGAGTCACGGTCCGCCCTGGTACGGTCCGCCCTGTCTCACGGTCCGCCCTGTCCGTAATTCATTTCAATTAAACACTATATATATCTATGATATTTTAGAAGTCACTTTCGTATTTTCTATGTGAGCGCAGGTACGTATATTAACGTTAATATACGTACCTGGTGAGCGAAAAGAGATTGCTGAACTTGTATATAGAAATTATATAAAAAAAATTGGGTAAATTCATCATAATGATTATTTTTGAAAATGATTATTATATACTTCTGATAACATACGTCTACAAACGGCAATATTAGTATAAATTTCAATTTAATATTTCATATTTAATATCTTACAAGTCACTTTCGTATTTTTCAAAGCGAGCGAAAGGAAGATCTCAGAACTTATGTATAGAAATTATGCATATAAATGGCGATTATAAATGGCGATTAAATCATCATAGTGATTATTTTTGAAAAGACATAAGATATACGTCTACAAACAGAAAATTCACTATAAAATTCTATTAAACCGGTACAATTCAAATTTTAATGATGTTATATTTTCGATCCTTGAAGATCGTTCAGCACAGGTATGTATATTAAGCAAACTAGTCAAATCGGCCCCAAGTCAGATCGGCCCCAAGTCAGATCGGCCCCAAAATTAGTCAATTCGGTCTCAAAATTAGTCAAATCGGCCACACAACAATTTTAAAAAGTCAAATCGGCCCAAATTCTTTTATATTTGGCATTTTTCAACTTGGTGGTTCCAGTATTCCAACTTATCACCCTTAGGATATGTTGTCTGCTTCCTTTTAATTTTGTCTTTTGAAGTCTTATTTGTGATATGCAGGCTTCATAATCTCAGATCCCCTTTCAAAATTCCATTTTATTTAGTTCCGCACTAGGGCACAAGCATTCTTTTACTTGGAGACAATACGCCGCTTTTCATGGAATGGCACTTCTGTGTCACATTGAAGGTTCCATGATGACCGCCGTATGAACACATCTGCGGATGTTTCTAAATTCAAAAAATTACCATTTTCATGTTAAATGTTGAATTCTGCTTAAGCCGGTGCTAGGGGGCGTGGACGGTAACTTGCACTTTCCATTACCGTCCATGAACAGGCTCAATCAAACCAAGCCTGCAACATTTTCAATTTTGTCGTGTTGGGCTTTCTTTAGGGATTCTGTATTTCTCTATTTCGCTTAATTAACCTATTTATACTATTATGAACTATTCAAGATGACAACGTTATTATAACAATTTCATGACATTATATTACACTTAACCAAATATGTCAGCGCCCATATGTTAAAAACATGACGGTATCCTAAATCATTTATTTTAAACAGTTAAGCATTTGGATAAACACAAAAGGGTAAAAATATGTTCATGTATAAAGAGGATCTCTTTTACCTTACTTTCACTGATTTTTTTTGTGTGTGTGTATTTGCGTTTATTTATACTCGCCACCGGTTGCCCATATGGGCGAGTCCTCCAGAAGAGTATTAGTCATTTTATTTTTCGGAGGATAGTGCAATTACAGATACAGAAAGATGCCCCAATTCCAGAAGCTTCTCCTGGTTCTTTAGCGTGCCAAGTGTTTAAGCACCCATACACGGGACCTCGATTTAAAGTCTCATCCGAAAGACTGATTAGTAATTTAAGTTGGCCAGCCCGGGAATCGAACCCACAATGTCGAGATTACAAGTCTCGCGCTCTAACCGATTGAGCTATGCGGGCTGGCTAATTTTTTTTGTGACCCCACGGCCCAGATTAAAACTCTGGAAACAAAGTGATCCCTCGGAAGCACATCAATTTAAGAATGTAAGGTTCGAAACTGATTCTTTTAGAGCAATTTTGTAGATATCTAAAGTATATGATATTCTCAGTTCTCATTTCAACACCATTTGCCGTGATAACAACCAACAGTCGCTTCAGTTTTTTTCTCCCATAAATATATCCAATCTAAATAATGTGCGTAAGGTTCGTTTTGTAATGTTCGTTATCAACTAATTAATAATTAATTAATTTACTAATTAGATTGTCAATCAAAACTGTTAACGTCATAAAACTACGAAGACAATGATGTCACATAATAACGCGTCTATCTCGGAAATTTCTGGCGGACATTTTGAATGTGTTTTGGAAAAGCGAATTCGGCAAAATACGATTCAGCAAGGTAATAACTTAAACTTTTTATCTTTAAAGTAAAACAAGATTGCTTTATTCAGAACCATTGTCAGATATGTGGACTACGCAGCAAAAAACGCCAAATACTTGCAGTTGTAAATGAATGCAGGATGACCTGAAGAAGTTGGCATTGTGGGAGAAACGCTGGGGCATAAGTTTCCACCCAGAGAAATGCAGTATAATCAGGGTCCACAGGAAGAGGAACCCCATCATATACCCGTACTCCTTGAAGGGCCACACACTCGAGATAGACTCGATAACCAAGTACCTCGGAGTCCATATGTCTGGAAACCTCTCCTGGAATCAACATGTTGACAAGATCGTAAAGAAGGGCAACAGCACACTCGGCTTCCTTCGACGCAACCTGCGCATCAGCAATGAACAGGTCAAGAGCACAGCCTACATGTCACTCGTGCGACCAGGCCTTGAATATTGCTCCACCATCTGGAACCCTTATACCAAGGACCTTACACGCAAGCTCGAGATGGTCCAGAGGAGAGCTGCAAGATATGTGACGAACCGTTACCACAACACAAGCAGCGTATCCTCAATGATCCAACACTTGGAGTGGGAGACATTAGAGTCACGACGGACCAAAGCCCAGCTGACCATGATGTTCAAGATCACCAATGACCTTGTGGACATACCAGTCAGCGATTATCTCACCCCTGCCCCGAGCCGCACTAGAAGTGACCACTCCAAGAAGTTCCATCTACCATCAACATCTACATCGTACTACAAGAACTCCTTCTTCCCTCGTACAGCCACGATATGGAACAGCTTACCTGCCTCCGTTGCAGAGGCCCCTGACTTGGTATCCTTCAAGCAGGGGCTATCAGCCCTCACATTCTAAGTCGCCTTAGGGGCCCAGCTACAAGTACCCACTAGTGATATCCAAGGCTGTGCCGGCAGCGGCCACCGTAACCGGAGAGGTTTGGGTTGAAGAGGCGAAATATAGCTGGCCATACTTTTTGTCTATATCTCTACCTTTGTACTATCCAACCTCTTCTTACTTTCTATCATTTCTTGTATATTTCTTTTTCTTGACCTAGCACCACCCGTCGCGTCATAATCAAGTGTGATTGCGCCGACGTACAATGTAGATGTAGATGTAGATGAATGATCTGAGAAGGCTTTCAAACTACAGTAAGGTTCGTTATTGAAGCAACGAACCTTACTTATTATTTTTGTTGCTGTTTCCATGGTTATGATAGAAAAACATGTATATCAACGTTTCTCATTGAACGTACATAATTTTATGGTATCAGCTGTGAAGTATTTTTTAACAAATATAGGATACGTCTTTTTTCAACAAGAAAACACACAATGGTATGTTTGATATCCACCCAACCTTAAAATTTGAACATGTTTATACGACAAAACTTGCATATAATAAATATTTATCTTTAACGAATATTCTATCTATTAATAGAAACAATATATAAGCATAATCATCGTGTCGTTTTTGTTCAAAAGCTTAACATATATGGGTAAGGTTCGTTACTGAGAGGTAACGAACCTTACAAGTACTTTTTACTAACATATGAGCAAATGTTAGCAAATTTTAAAGGAACTATAATGTTTAAAATATAGCATTAAATGGGTTTAACATTTTTGTGTGTGTAAAATGACGCAACGTCATTCGTTAACTGTTCTTTAGAAGTAAAAAATATGCATGCCTCTTAAAAGTACTACATGCTTTGTTTATGTCCGAAAATGGAGAATTAAAATAACAAACCATAACTGAAAAATACTGATTTATAAACTTAAATGTTTTTGTTGTTTAACACACTTTGTACCGATTTTACTAAGATTAATTAATTGTTTATATCTACCAGATTTTTTCGAACACGTAGAATAGTAACGAACCTTACCTTATTAATCTAGTTAAGGTACTTTATTAATTAATGCTCGATTTAACTATTTTTTCTTCTTGTCTTTTTATCGAGATTTTATGTTACATTTTCAGATAAAAAATGACAAAAACAGCGGCAGAAAAAATGAGAGAATATCGTAAGCGTCTACAACAAGACCCTGAAAAATATGATGCTTACTTAAAAAGGGCAAGAGAAAGAAAATCACGGAATTACATTCCTGTTAATCAATTAAACAGAACAGAAAAAAAGAAAAGACGAGAAAAAACTAAAGAATATGTAAGGAACCACCGTAATAAAGTGAGACGTGAAGCTGAAGTAGCACGAGAAATTCAAGAAGAAGCAATCGAAACAAGTGGTTACGAAACAAGTAGTAATACACCAACACCTTTAGTTGTAAGCATGAAATTTCCAAATAGGAGAAACGGACCCAAAAAACGCATAAGCAAAGCTTTAGCCAAGAGAAGCAGAGAATTCAAGGATCTGAAATTAAAGTATGCACATTTAGAAAAAAAACTGAAATCAAACCAAAGAACATTGCAGCGATATAAAAAGAAACAAAACAGTAAGCCATATGATGCTCATCAAGAAGTCGTCAATGAAACTGATCCTACGTTCTCAAGTACTGATAAAGAACGCAAAACCATTGAACAAAACCAAGAAGCCACTGATAATGGTACTAGTAGTCAACAACCACCTCATAATAATAAGATTCAAGAAACGCCTAAACCAAACAAGCAGGGACCGAGTACTCCAAATAGTAAAACCAAACAAATGTTGGAAAAAGCAGGCTTAAATAAAAAACAGATAGCTAAACTTAGAAAACCCCTCTTACTTGGAAACGTCCTACAAACCCAAATAAAAAATTGTCGTCGCGCAATGAAGCAGAAAGAATTCGGCTCACTTCGTGGATTGATTGGTGCAAAGATACTTAATAAATACAGGTTAGGGAAAGAATTGAACAAAAGTACAGGCATTGGGCGTAACAGAATAGGCAAAGGTGTAAACATCACAAACGTACGCAGAAAAAGGGAAGTAGAACGAAACAGAGAGCGTGTACTAGATTTTTTGACTCGTGATGACAACTCAAGGTGTAACCCCGGGAAACAGGATAAACTTAAGGTAGATGGTGAATCCCGTCAGACAAGAATTTTAACCGATTATTTAAAAAACCTCTACGCCAAATTTTTGAGCGAGAATCCAGGGCTTAAGCTTTCTTTGGCATCTTTTTGTCGCATCCGTCCAGCTAATATTAAATTAACAAGGTTCATTTCCAGAAGTTGTTGTCTTTGCACAAAGCATCAGAATTTTGCTTTGTGCACCCAGGCATTACGAAAATGTGGCGTAAATGTTCCACTCAATCCCGAAAAATTCATTGAAGACAACTCAGAAAACATGGACAAAGTAAAAGAATGTACACATAATGATATTACATTTGGCCAATGGAAACGGGTGGCAGTAGATGACAAAGGAAACAAAAAAATGATAATGAAGGTTGTTGCTACCACATTGACCATGTCAGATTTCTTAGAAAAGCTAACATTACAAGGACAAGAGTTTTCGGAGCATGTCCAGAGAGTGCGCAAGCAACATAAAGAGTGCCTGAATATAAAACAGAACCTGCCATTGAACGAGGTAGTGTTAAATATGGATTTCGCTGAAAATTATGCATGCAAAAGTGTGGAAGAAATACAATCAGCTTATTGGAATATGAGCGCAGTGACATTACATCCAATAGTCGTATACTACAAGTCTGGTGGCGAAGAATTAAAACACAAAAGCATCGTTATGGTTTCTGATGAAATGGCCCATAACTCTAACACTGTTCTAACATTCAGTGTCTATTCTAGGACGCGCGATTGCGCGATTCACGCTAGTATTTCACAGATCGCGCACAATTCAAAATCATGTGCGTGAAAATCGCGCATCTATAAAAAAGTTAATAAAACCGTAAAACTTCCATCCCGCATTATATTTGGTTGTTTTGTTTACATTTACACCGAAAACCGAAGGGAGGTAACTGTAAGCTAATTATAATAATTTAGTACCGTATGGTACTGGTTACGTGAGTTGACGGAAATTAACGGAATGTTCCGTATCGACCGGAACTAGTGTGCTAGGTCTGACAGTTGGGCGCCATTTTAGTGTAGTAAATAATCAAGAAAAATGAGGCAATTCCTAGCTTGGCTACGATCTAGACGTGAAAGATAGTTCGATTATTTGTATTGCCAATCCCTTTATAATCAATCGCGGCAGTTCTGTAATAATTTGTTTTCGTTTAAAAATTAAGGGGGGACAACTTCTGCTGCCT